AAGCCAGATTGAAATTCATAGATTAGTTTCTTTTCTGCGAGGTACTTTTCGACCTGTTCATATACTATTTTTTCCATGACTTTCGAGATGGAGGTAAGTATAGAAACAGGGCGGTAGTTGCCTGGGTCCAATTTGCTGCCCTTTTTGTGCAGGGGGGTTACTCTTGCAATTTTGAAGTCTTTGGGTACTTTTCCCTGTTTTATGGAGAGGTTAATTATGTGAGCTATGACTGGTGAGATGGCGGTTGCTGTGTCTCTGAGGAATTTGGAGGGGATATTGTCGTGGCCAGTGGCCTTGTTAGGTTTGAGGGCGCTCAGTTTAATGAGTACCTCTGCTGTTGTTACCCTTGCTAGACTGAAATCATCTTTGCGTACCCCTAGGTTTTTGTAGTAGGTCATGATGTGATCTACTCCAAAAAGCCCTGAGTGGGAGGGTAATTTATTTACAAGAGTTGTGGCTATGTTTGTGAAAAAAATGTTCAAGTACTTGGCCACATCCAGTTTGTCTGTGATGAGCCTGTTATCTGTCTTTATGTTTACGTTTGAAAATCTCGTTTTGAGTTTTTTACTGCAGCCAAGCTGGTTATTGAGTAATTTCCAAAGTTCACGGGGTTTATTTTTGTTTTCCTCAGTTTTGTCATTGATGAAATTCTTTTTGGCAGTTTTGATCATGGAGCTTACGTCATTTCTGTACTAGCAACTATCAAAAATAGCTGTGTTGATTAAACGCACAAGGGGTTCTTGAATGAAATAATATTATAAAAGGCAAACCAGAATTGTTAACGCCCAATATACTCCTTAAACAAAATAAACAGAGTCAGATTTCATGCATTGATCCATTATATTGACAAAGGTGCATCTCACCCGGTGTTTGTAGAGAATATCTCTCTTTCTGAGCCGTCCTCTCGATGCAATATCCACAGAGACGTGCTTCTTGGTTTCTTTCAGTTAACTTCCCCGTTGCATTTATCCATATGCTGAGGAAATGACTATATCCCGCTGAATACCAGCAATCGCCACACACACTGACTTCCTCCTGTCAGTAGCTACTGCTAGTGCTACTGCTACTGACCATGCTACAGATATTAGTGCAAAAATATACAGCTCCTCTACCACAACCATCAGCAACAACAGATTCGGTTTCTTTCAGTTTCTTTCAGTTTCAGTTTCAGGGCTTAAACAGAAGGGTAGCCATGGCAACATTGCTGCGGGGCTGCTCCAGGCTGCTCTTCTTCGCGGCTTTTGGTGTATTTTGGCGGAAGTTACAGCGCCACTTACAGTCCCAGCATATGTACTACAGCGTTTCCAGCGGCCTCGTTTAAACAGACACGTTAAATGAAACAAATGCATGTGAACGGAAGACTTTTTTGAATACGCATACTGTGCATAAACGCAAACGGTCCCGTGTGAGCGGGGCCTGATTGTCTCCAGGTGCAGCCTCTCTCCCAGGTGCTCCCAATCCCCAATCAGGGCTTCCATATAGGACCTGAGGAAGGCTGCAGTCGCTCTCCTTTTTCTCCTCTGGCTGCATGGGTGCAGCACGTCGTCTTGGGTCTCTGTGTGGGGCCTGGTTGTCCTTTATCGTTGGATTAAATCTCATGTGTGAACAAAGAGATCAGTTTCCTCTCTTTTTTCTCGTGCTGGTCGTTCTGTGTTTTGTTACTCCCCTTCGTACCCCTAGATTTTGGAGGGAACGTAACAGTTATACAAGTGTAAATGTATGCACACAAGCTCAGATTTCTTTTCTGCAAGTGCTCACATCAGGTTTTACATGCTCTCGCATTTTGCACCAGAGTTGCTGTATGTAGTTGTCCAATATGGCGGACCATCTCGCACATGCGCAGTACAGATCGGGCAGGGGGACAGATCGGTTAGTGACAGGACCAAAACCGGGACGCAGACGGACCCGGTGGAATCGAGGGGTTAGGCCATTAGTTTAAGAAGGTGACGACCTGCATCATCTACATCCTCTGCTCGAATTAAAGCTCAGGCAGAAAGGGCTGCTTTAATCGAAAGGTCTGCAGCACTGAACATTCAACATGAACTTGATGTACAAGGGGAACAGTTGAAACAACAGTTGAAACGAAAGAAGGAACAATTGGATTTACAAACTGAACTGGCAGCAGCAAATGCCAGGATAAATGTGCTCAGCATGGGATCAAGACACACCTCTAGAGCATCAGATGGGATGAACTCTTACTTCAGAAACCCTACAGCAAGATTTAGGCCGTTTCTCAATCGCGAGGATGCTGGCTTGGTAGTCGCGTACTTCCAAGTCACTTCCTTCAGAAACGAAGCAAGTATGCTTCCAAGCCACGGCTTCGGAAAACGAAGAAGAATGGAACAGGCTAACAAGTGTGCCAGGTGTGCGTCATATGAGAGGCCCCGCCTTACATTTTCCGCCACTGATTTGGGGAAATTGGTCCGTGCGCAAAGCATTGTGGGGATTTTAAGGACGCGAAGTCTACCCATGTGCAGCCTCGAAATTTCCCCCAAACCAAGGACGCGGCCTCGGTGGAATTCCAAGTATGCTGGACATTGGAACGGTCCTGCTGCGCCACTTGATGACGTAGCATCCTTGAAATATTGGCTTGGAAGCCAATATCCTCGCGATTGAGAAACGGCCTTAATCTACATGCAACTGAATTCTCACCTCATCAAGCCCAAACCTCTATTCCCGGACAAAATATACAGACACAACAGGGACATGTTGACATCACACCACCTGTAATCAACAATGGTAATCAAGGTGACATCTATAACTTAATCCAGAGGCAAAATGACATCACTGCTATGCTGGCTCAACAACATCTTACTTCTACTTTACCACCAAGAGACATTCTTGTTTATGATGGTGACCCATTGCAGTTTGAAGCCTTCATCCGTGCATTTGAAAGAGGAGTAGAACGGAAAACTGATGATGAAAGTGACTGCCTGCATTACCTAGAGCAATACACCAGAGGACAACCAAAGGACCTAGTGCGCAGCTGCCAACATCTGCCTCCAGCTCAAGGCTATCAAAGGGCAAAACAGCTGCTTAAGGAACACTTTGGTAATGAGCACAAGATTGCCACTGAACAAAGCATTTACCTGGACAATGATCAAAACCGAAGATGTGAAAGCACTGCAAGCCTTCTCTTTGTTCCTAAGAGGTTGTTGCAATGCAATGGAACATCTCACCTATATGGATGAAATGAATGTTGTTTCAAACGTGAAAAACATACTTCAGAAACTACCCTACAAACTCAGAGACAAGTGGAGGAATAGAGCATGTCAGCTACAGGAAGAGCGTGGGCATCGAGCTACATTTCCTGACCTTGTTGACTTCATGGAGAGACAAGTGAAGATACTGTCAGATCCTCTGTTTGGAAACATCCAAGATGATAAACCATCTACAACTTTCAAAACCTCTACCTTTTCAAAAGAAAGGTCAAGACCAAGAGTAAGCAGTTTTGCAACAACTGTTACCTGCCCAAGAACACCAGTGCTAGAAAATACAACAATAAATGGGACTGAAGATACCTGCATCAACCACCAAATCCCTATATTTGTGTTTGTTCTGCAGTAGAAGTGGTCACTCATTGGGGCAGTGTCCACACATCCTGAAGAAAACACAGAGAAAGGCTTGACTTCTTGAAGGAAAAGGGAGTCTGTTTTGGATGCCTAAAAATAGGTCACATGAGCAAACACTGCCACAGTCGTTTGACATGTTATGTGTGCAACCAAAATCATCCTGAAATACTCCACATTGAACAAAAGGGCAAAAGAAAGGAAGCAGAACACACAGAACAGAATGGGAAACCAACTGGAGGTAATACTGTTGTCTCACTTCAAATATGTGGTCATATTGGGGCGGGAGATGATCGTCCCATTTTCTCCATCATCCCAGTTCAAGTAAAGAGCCACAAGGGGGACAAAGTGTTGCAAACGTATGCCTTTTTGGATCCTGGAAGTTTATCTACCTTTTGCACAGAAAGTTTAATGAGGCTAAACCTTACAGGACAAAGGACTAACATTCTCTTAAAGACAATGAATCAAGAAAAAATGGTCTAGTCATCATATCTCAGGTTTGGAAATATCGAGTCTGGACAAAGACAATTTCCTTAAACTATCTAATGTTTTCACACATAAGACCATGCCTGTTAACACAATATTCCTGTGCAAGAAGATCTTGAAAAATGGCCTTACTTCAAGGACATCAAAATTCATGAAATTGACTTTGGCATTGACCTACTCATCGGGACAAATTCTCCTAAGGTATTGGAACCTTGGGAGCTGGTCAATAGCCAAGGAGAAGGAGCGTATGCTATGAAGACCCTACTGGGGTGGGTCTTCTATTGTCCCCTAAGAGGAAGCAATGACAGCAGAGATTCTAACAGCAGCACCCACACATGTTTTCAAACAGACAAAATGCTGAAGGCTCCGGAGAAGGTTTGTCACCCGTACAGCCGGAAAGCTGCTTACGTGGCACGAGAAGAAATCAGACTGAAAAAGGACGAGACAGAATAAAGACAAAGCAACACGTCGGAGCTGCATCGGTGAGAACATTTGGATCCAGAAAAGACGGCGTTCACCAAGAAGGATGCCTGTGACATCGTTGATAGGTTTGAACCTGAACTTGAGCAGATTGAGCTGATGAACGGCATCAAAGGTCGACAGGGTCGTCAAACAGACCATGGAGCGAGAGCGGGAGCAGTATGAGGTCGGGTTTGAGATCCCAGACATCATAAATGCAAAAAATCTGAAAACATTCACGGAGTGGACTGGTGATCTGAAGAAACCTATAATAACCGAATAACCAATAACGAAGATATGTCTGCTCCAGGAAGCTGAGACATAAGTACCACAAAGACAAGGGAGAAGAGAAGAAAACTGAATAATCATTAATAATTAAATAACACAGAACACACCATTTGTATTTTACATAGCTCCTTTATTGGTAATTGTTTTTTGTTTCATACTAAAGCCAATTAGGGGCCGGTGTGTAGGAGCCATTTTATGGGTGTTGTTGGTGTCTCAGTTTACCTTATTTATATGTATAGTGCAATATTATTTTTGAACACTTGGTGGCGGGGTTTAGCTGCACCGGGTGTATAAAAGGGGTCATAGGTGACAGGAGAGGACGAGGACACAGGAGGAAGAGCATACCGATTCTACCAGCCAGACAGCCCAGCCGGCAGATGCTCATACCACAACCCTTTGACACTGCGTCTGCGTCAGGATCACTCTAAACCCTCCTGTGAAGTAATGGCAAAAGGATATAGGACATTGGAATAATAAAATTGCCATTAAAAAGGTTGATGGAAATGAACATATCATTTTTATTAAGTTATCACACACAAAAAAACTAAAATACATTTATTATAAATGGTCTACATCTTCATAAAAACATATGCAAGGCCCATCGCATTCCCCAGGAAAACAGAGACATTCTCTGCAGTGACATTATCTGATAGGCATCAAATATATCAGGCATGTCGGAGGAATGATCTCCACAGACATTGTTCACATGAACAGCATGGGCATTGACCAGGTCAAGGGCAATGAATCAGATGTCTAATACTGTAAGCCCTTCTGGAACTTTACTATAATCTTTATGGTTCTCAATGTAAATGCTCAATCGGCTCAGCTGGAACTTAAGTGCGGATTCTCCCCAGTAAGCTTGAAAAACGTTCCAGCGTATCCTTGGAGAGCACCTTTCACTAAATGAAGGGGCCGCCATCTTGAGAGCACACAGCTCTCTTTACACATCAATGGTTCCATCAGGGTGCTGCCTTTGATGATTCTGAAGAACACAAGACATATAAATGCATGAGAGATAAAATGGGTCTCAGGATTAACTTGAATAATGATTTTATTTAGGTTAAGAAACAAATTTACCAGCAACTACAGAAGATGTATTCTTCTGCGCCAACTTATCTGATGACACTAAAGTCCCATTCATTTTGATTATGCGTTCCAAGCATGAGGAGCCTCGGTAGATCCATTCCTCATGTTGATCTGTCTATGATTGATGACACACAAACTACTATGAGTCAAGCAATCTAAATACATATTGCAGGGGAGAATAAACCAAGAATACTGTTGGAAATAGTTTTAAGAAAGATGTTCACAAATACTGACCGAAACGAGAACTTTAAACAAGCTGGAGTCGACCGTCTGCACCGTACACCTCTGTATTATTCCATTTAATTCTGCATTTATAGACTGTCCAACCCGGTACTGTGTCTGGGGCGGGTAAGGCCAGGCCTTTTAAATACCGCTGCATGAAGCTCTTGTGGCTGCCATCTGGAATATCGTCCAAGGGGTCCGTCACTGTCACAGGAAAAACAGACAGTTGCAGCGGTGACAACGTCACCTCTGTCTCATTGTTCACTTTGAACATTCATAGGCTATAAGATAAACTAAACAACTCACGCATGTCATATATTACAAATGCTTTGATATTGACTTGGTTCATACAAAAACATTAGACCCATACATGATATGGATGGACACTGAGCCAGCCAGCCAGCCAGCCAGCCAGCCAGCCAGCCAGCCAGCCAGCCAGCCAGCCAGCCAGCCAGCCAGCCAGCCAGCCCAGCCAGCCAGCCAGCCAGCCAGCCAGCCAGCCAGCCAGCCAGCCAGCCAGCCAGCCAGCCAGCCAGCCAGCCAGCCAGCCAGCCAGCCAGCCAGCCAGCCAGCCAGCCAGCCAGCCAGCCAGCCAGCCAGCCAGCCAGCCAGCCAGCCAGCCAGCCAGCCAGCCAGCCAGCCAGCCAGCCAGCCAGCCAGCCAGCCACTCTGCAACAGCACCCCCTGCTGTTCCTTATCAGACAAGAACGGAACATGACACAAGAATGAAGGAATGAATGTGGGAATAAATACATCAATAAATGTGGTAATAAATACATGAATGTATAAATAAATAAAAGTGTTCAATAAAACACTTCATTATATATATATTTATGTACAAGTGGCATTTTATTGTTGGTAGCTAGCAGTGAGTCCATAATACTAGTAGTGATTTCAATAAGTTCTCAACAACTGCTGCATGAATGGTTTGAGACTCACCGTTGCACGGCCCGACCAAGTAAGGAGCCAGAGTCACAAATCCCAAATATAACCCGCTGTGGGCCTTCATTAAAAATCATGAACACACAGCCTCAATCTGCTGTTTCTCCCTGCACACAGCCTGCAGCCACAAAGATCTCACAGCCCTCTAACCCCACAAGCACAGCACCTAAATACACACACAGACTAACAAGACACAGGTGAGGGTGGATAAATTAGACACAGGTGAGGGGGGAGTAGCCATCACAGGGCACCAGGTGAACACAATCCCCAACAGAGATCACCTCCAGTCCAGTGTAATAATGTATGCTGATGATTCCACAATATACTGTTATGTCAAGTCTTGGACCTTCTCAATATAACTATGATTTAATTACAGTTTCCAGATATTGGAAGAGGCCCATGAGTCTCTTTGCTAATTATCAATGGTCTTTGCAATTAACAGCAGATGTACCCATGTTAAGTAAATTGGCAAAGGTCAGAGGAACTCCAAGAGAGGTCTTCCTCAGATATAATACAGTTAAAGTCTTGTTAGTTAGTGGTTCATATCCAGCATGCATTAGCTAAGAAACGATAAGGATGTTGGTGTGTTAGTTAATGTAAAGAAATGTATGTGCGCTCATGTGCAGACGATATATATATATAGTTTGTTAATTGGATAATTCATATCCTGCAAGGCTCCTAAAGACTTCATGAGATAATGACCTTTTCACATCTGGAACTTACATGTTGCTCTGAGGTTGGTGCGTCCAAGTTTAGGAGACCTGACAATGTGTGTGCGTTAAACATGATTAGGGAACATGTTTGTGTGTCATTTAGAAAACCTATATGTGTCCTGTGTTTCTGAATATTCGGAGAAGGCATTGCTGTAGGACTGCTTGAGAGCAGAGGTAATGTTTTGCTCATTATTATTGATTGTTGTACAACGAAATAATAATTGATCAACTATATCTGTGTTTGTGTTTTATTGATTCCTCTCTGTTTCATTCTTTCCTGTTGTGAGTACTAAATTGCCACAACAATACAGTGCAGCATCAACATGCAGTGAGTTCAACAATCTACTTAAAGTAGAGATTAAAGCCATAGCAGACTGGGTCAACAATAACAAACTGGTACTCTATATTGCAAAACCAAAGTGTATTTGTTAATATACACCCCTAAAGTCCTATCCTATATTATGTGATATACATATCTTTATGTTACATGTTGCTCAGTATCATATGATAAACTGTGTTGTATGCTGCTGCAGGAAGGATACTGTATATTGTAGAATATCTATTAAAGATAGCTATATACACTACTGTATATCTGCACTCACACTGCAACAGCACCCCCTGCTGTTCCTTATCAGACAAGACATGACACAAGAATGAAGAAATGAATGTGGGAATAAATACAGCAATAAATACATGTGGTAATAAATACATGAATGTAAAAATAGATACATAAATGCAATAGGGAAAGTGCAATATTTGATTTGTGTATGAATGCAGTAGGGAAGGTGCAATATTTGATTTATGTATAAATACAATAGGGAAAACTGCAATATTTGATGATGTATGAATGCAATAGGGATATGTGCAATGGGGAAAGTGCTGTACCTGTATGTTTCGTGTTTGTTTCTTTGCCATGTGATATGTGATCTCTGTTCTGTATCTATTGACCTGAATGTTTTATGTTTATTATCTCGATGCCCAAGACAAATAAACAATAAAGACAATAAAGCTCTATCTTGTCTTATCTGTCTATTGTTGAATATATATATGAAAGATAGCTATATACTGTATAGAACATTAGATTTCATTTCATTTCATTTCAATCTTTATTTCAAACAGATTGAAAAATAACAAATAAAAAATAACAAATGTGAAAAAACAGAATACCGTATTGTTAAAATACAGTATTTATCCACATTCACGATAATATTTATATATTCAACAACAAAAAAATCTTCATATTAATAATAATAATAATAATAATTAAAAAATAAATCATATGTGTCCGAAAGGGAGTAGGATGAAGCAAATGCTTATTAATTCCCACCCCTTACTTGATCAATGATTGTCCTTTAAGTCATTGTGCAAGTTATTCCTACTTACATTTACAAAATGTTATACATACATATACAATAATTTCTCATCTTCAATCACCTCTCTTCATTCTCATAGTTTTCCAAAAAAGTGTTTCTGTACATCCTTTTAAACTGAATTATGCTTGTGCTTTGTTTTAACTCCTGCTCCAAACCATTCCATAAAATCACCCCACAGATTGTTATACTCATACTTCTCAGAGTTGTTCTGACCTTGAGTTGTTTAAAATGTAGATTTCCTCTCAAATTATACCCACCCTCTCGGTCTATGAACAATGTTTTTAATTTCCTAGGAAGTAGATTATGTCTTGCTCTGTACATGATTTGTGGCGTTTTAAATTTAACCAGATCATTGAACTTCAATATGTGTGACTTCAAAAATAATACATTAGTGTGTTCAAGATATCCAACATTATTGATAACTCTTATAGCCCTTTTTTGTAATGTGCATAACGGCTGTCGGTTGGTTTTGTACGTGTTTCCCCAAATCTCCACACAGTAGATTCATTGTAATTCAATGTACATATCAATAATTAATGGATACAAGGAGAACTTTGATGTTAATGAACATGATGTGATTATACATGATTATATGTGTAGATAAGCTGTATAAATAATGGTTAACATGTCACAAATCATAAACAAATCTGGGACTGTCTGCAGAACAGGGAAAGGGCATAAAATAACAACAAAGCCGCTGGAGATCTAGGATACAGGCGACACAAAAAGCAAAAGGAAACTGTGTTTTTACTGTTGGCTTAACTGAAACGATGTAACAACATAATACACTTTTTCGGTACATCTGCGGCGGTAATAGGTTTCATGCGCTGTGATGATTCGGCTGTACCTTTAGTAATGAATA